CTTAACAGTGTACTGTTACTACGGTGTTTTACGTACGTGATTGACCGCTGCACTTACGTGGATCACCGATTCCGATAATCTCGTACTTGCAAGGATCATCAAAACCAGGAAAGATTACCAATAACGGTGATCCGTGTCGTACAAGGGATCACTAAACTCAGTGATCCGTGTTGTACAAGGGATCACTGAACTCGGTGATCCATGTCGTACAAGGGATCACTGAAATCAGTGATCCATGTCGTACAAGTGAAAAAAATAGGGAAGCCAAGATCGAACAGTGGTCGTTCGGAACATGTGTCACCGCAATAGCATTCTTACCCGACCACAGATCAAGCTTCCTGTTTTTCCTTTTTTGTTTTTGTCACTCAAAAATTAAAGGTAATGCACTAATCAGTATGTCATTTTCCCAATGCCATCTAACGAAACGATATTTAGTCTGCAATTTCATGACGTATTTTAACAAAATCCCATATTAAAAAACATTCCACTCGTTAAAATTCACCCCGGTCAAAAAACACGCCGTTAATTATCCCCTAGGGCAGAAACACACAGACCGTTAATTATCCCCTAGGGCCTAAAATTTGGACCCCCCCGGATAAAAAAAACTGGTCAATTATAGCCAGGATACTACTATAGCCATTTATAGGCAAACGGTCTAGTGGACACGATGGCTGTACAAGCGTCAAGGCTTCGGGATGAAAGACGTATGCAAACACTGTGCATGCGTGTGTGTCTGATGGACAAAGTTCGACCGGGCTTTACACTTGGTGGACTGGTGGTCATTGACCAAAAGTTCATAATTTACGTGAGCGCAGAAATTTGAAAGCGAAGAGGCATTTTTCGTTATTTGAGTGTTGCATCCGTCGTCCAGACTCCAGGGTAACAATGTTCTTGATTTACAGGGTACTGGTGTTTTCTTGACTTATATGCTTCTACTGTGGGATGCTCCGGAACCGGGACGAAACCAACCATCCATGGCAGAGCCTTGTGAACGCCTGTTTGTTAATTTTTCTACCAGTTAGCAAGTTCGCCATATGATCTCGGAAAAACTTTTTCACTTGTATGTTCCAGATTGCATTGTGTGAGATAGAAGTCTATGTGCGGATAACAGATGACTACAATCAGATATGGTACAGCACAAAAAATGCGGGGGAAAAGAAATTTACTAAGAATAACAAAATGGGAAAGATTATAAAAGATTCTGATGAGTAAAGCACGCCTCATTACACTTCACCCTCCGAGCCATATAAATAACCGACGTAAAGACAATCAGAGTGTATTACAGTGTAAACGTCGGTAGCTGCTTATAGGAGTAGCGGTAAAGTTAAATTGTATTAATGCATCCAAATGCCCACTACATTATGCCGTGCTGTGTTCGAGAAGATAAAAAAGCGCCTCGATAGATTTTCGAAGCTTACTGATGACAGTTGTCCCAAAGCCGAACCATCTGCCTTTGCTGACAGAAAAGCTAAGAGAAGTGGACAAACCTCAAACAAAATAAACTGAGCTGGCATATAACAATCAACAGCTGTACGCGAAGCAATATCTGATCACAATGCACAGAAGTCCTCGTTTCAATGTTGTATGTAGTTTCGAACGATTCCGCCGTTACAGCCATCTTGTCCAAGCGATAATTCTGCTAGATTGTAGTGAAATATTCAAACGAAAACAGCGTAGGATCTTTTCCCCGCTTTTGCCACATAATGTTTCACTTCCCTTACTTGAGATCTATTGGGATTAACAAGAACTGTTTTACATACGTAATGTTACGGTGGCTCGTGAAGGTGAAGTACAATACTACGCACTCGTGACTGTGTGCAAATTATGTCTACCTCACCAGGGCATATTTTCCGGGTCTAAATTCAGAAAATTCTGATATTGTGTGGAAAGGTATAATACTACCCTAGTATAATTAAAAAAATAATTTTATCTGCAAAGGCTCAAAGGGCGTGGCCAACCAACAGTTAAATGATAACCTAATATTACACACTATGCAATTACTGCTATTTAGAGCACTGGTGCTCTAAATAGCAGGAATTATGATAGTTTCGTTTTGATTTTGCGAGCGCCGCACTGTGGACCCATTCGGTACGTCCCCACGTCATCCCAGCCAAATTAATATATGTCACAAAATTTTGTAAAGTACAGAGTATGAGCTAAACCGTAAACAAGGAGTGGCTGCATAACAGGCTGTATTAATGTGCCATCAAATTACCCGATAGCAGATTTCGGAAATTTAATTTAAATTTACATTAGCGGCAGGGCCACCGCACGCGTGCATTGGTTTAAACATCAGGACTTGACAACTGGTTGGTCCGATAATTTGCTAGTGCAATGCGATAAAATTAAATCAACAATAAAATATAGCCTGGAAGATTACAAAGTACCGCACCAATACACTGCAACGGTACGCAGTACGGTGTGTTCATTTAATTGTTTGGCCACGCCCTTTGAGCCTTTGCAGATAAAATTATTTTTATAATTATACTACGGTATTATTCTACCTTTCTACAAAATATCAGAATTTTTTGAATTTAGACCCGGAAAATGTGCCCTGGTCAGGGATGAATATTCTGCACGTTTAACATATGACAAGGTCGTACGTTAACGGGGCTGTATAGTAGGCAATACAACCCAAGTTTACGAATGAAGAAAAACCAGCGCAATTTCTGATTAAACAGTTTGGTTTGTCTTGAGGAACGCTTGGATGGTGTTAACCGAGGTTACCTGATCCCATGATAGCAGAAGGAAGGTGAGAAACACTCCAGTTCCCTGCAGTCAACAAATTCGTAATTGTAACCTCACTACAACGTCGCGTAAAGCAAATCTCACCGTGACTATGAATTCCTGGTTAATTCGAACGATACCTCCGATAGTAAAACCCACGTACAACCGCTCCACCAAACTGATGCGAGCTGCCTCCACTATCATTTGACCGCGGTTCTTAAGCCGAGAAGCTCGGTCAGTAAACGCTTCAACGAGTGCACTGGCCTAAACATATCGCAAGAATTATCAGATTGCCGAAATGGAGATGATGCGTAATTTACGGTATGCGCCAGAGCAGCCGCGCACGGACGGCAGTTCGTGAAAACCTGCGAGTGGTCGGAAGTCGCTATTTCTGCCGCTTAGCACATGTTCGAAACAGCGACTTTAAATACTGCTCATTCAGCTAATGATCTGTTAGCGAAATCAAGACCATAACCAAAATGTAGAGAAAAATGTGCTCTACAAGGAAATGTTAGCTGTCACGTGGAAATCTGTTACTGCAGTGACTTATTGCCGCCAGCGCTTTGCACCATGAAATTCGGTACTATAAATTCTGTTATTACTGCGCACCTGTAGTTTGCCCTGTTAGCGCTATGCTGAATTCGCTGTTGGTTAGACCACTCATACAGCCAATGAGCGTGTTTGCACCGGCTCCGCCCCTCTACCGCATACCAGAAATTGTGTACTTGACCCAATGTGTTTAAGGAAAAAATAAGAAACACAACTGCAAGTCGTAATCATACCTGGTTATTAAGCCAAATAAAAACCAGGGTTCTGATAACGGTAAAAAGCATTAGGGTTGACGCATAATACGCTATTCCTGCTTTATCCCTATCCGGCATGGTGTCCCGCAAGTTCACGATACCGTATAAAGCCCACGCGAGATTATCAATGTAGACTACCAGCCAGAGCAGCCTGGTATCCTTCTCTAAACGACGAACAGCGTAAGAAAGATCGAGATAATCATTGATGACCTTTTCTCTTTCTTCATCGCTAAGAGCACCGGAGTATGCCGCGTGCATTTCGGCAAATGTAATTGTAAATAGGACTACTACAAGCATCAAGATATATTGTGTCAGTGCTGATTCCACATTAAACATACATGCCAGCGTGAACAGTGCATTCATCAGACGGTGTCGGTTTTGCGGAGAAAGCGGCAATACGTTTACGACCGGGCTTTGTTCATAAAATAATGGACGCTGAAGTTCCCGATTTATAGTAATAATTAATTCGACTGCAACATTTAACAGCGGCAGTGCTAGCAATGCAGCAAAGGCAAAAATCTGGCGCCGGCATTTTGGTTTCCAATAAGGCTGTGATATAATCTTAGATTCACGAAGGACACTAGTGATATTTCGAAGAGCAATGCAGATGCCGATCATGCCCATTGGTGTCCAAAAACCGGGCATCACCGTGCTGATCAGTTTTAATAACTCGGTGGGTGTCTGCGGAATGCTTTTCGTTGCACCGATACCTAGCTGGTTAATACCGTAGAAGAAAGTACTGATAAATAAAAAGCCAGACCACAAAGTCAGTAGTTTATCCAAGATGATCTGCCATCGCGAAGTAGGGAGTTTTGTATCGCGGCAATTACGTAACGGAGTATAGCCGAATAACCGCAGTACTGCTAATGATAGTGGGATGAAGCGCTGAATTAGGATATCCATGCTAACCAACGGTTGTATACTGATTGTATTGACAAATTTTGTGGTTACTTAGTAAATGACAAGTTTTAATAACACTGAATCCTTGGAAACACTCGTTCGCGTAGTTACTCAGCCTGGGAACGTGTATTCTGCTTACGGTATGTCAATGACACAATAAGTAAATACGCGTGGATGTTTCAACGTCAGCTTCGATGGGACTAACAGATAACTCCACGCAGCAATGCCCTATAAACAGAATTGATCCGTTCCTTACAACCCATACTCCTGGATTACACTCCTCTCATTCGTATGTATTCGTACTCTGAATCGTGTTTGCATTTACGAAACCTTCGATGAATTCATTCATAACCGCTCTTAAACCTCTACAGAGGGGATACTTGCTAGCGAGACGCTAATAATTAAAAGGCTCTACTTTTGACCTTTTGGTTAAAGTCGGTTATAACTTTTGCCAAATTTTAAAAGCAGCTTCTAGTAACGCTCTCTGTGCGAATGTGGCCGGTTAAACTAGTTGTCCGTAGGTCTTCGTTTATTTGTGTAGTGATTTCTGCTACCTTTTTAAAACTTGAATCGCTTGCTGACACATTTACTGAATCAACTTAACAACCAAACTAGCTAAATGGCGAATTAACGACCAAGCCTAATACCGGTAATTAATTACTGTAACGCTTGCAAATGATTTACTTCCACTCGTGCACTAAAGAATAGTTTGTGCAAACGTTAAATAAAATGGTGGTGTCGCGGATTCCTTATCCTTGTACTTCCTTAAACGCGCACAATCGAGCAATGTCATTCGACGAACTTCCGCCTGATCCTATGGCCGCGGCAATCTCCTTCTGCCACTGCTTGGCTGCCGTCCGGTATGGTTCGCCGCTGGCATGTCCGGAGACCTTGACAATGATGTCAGCAATTTCCTGAGCCGGCACGACACGCTTGGGTTTCATCCCGGTTCCCTCCAGCATCTCCGCCGCACCGGCTTTAACTAGCCAGCGTGCGTTAACCAACTGGTCAGCAAACATCGGCCAACACACCAGTGGCAGTCCGTTGGTCAGGGTCTCCAATGTACTGTTCCAGCCGCCATGGGTGACAACGGCTGCGATAGCCGGATCGGCCAGAATCATTTTCTGGGGCGCCCAGTTCAGAATAAGAAAACGGCTACTATTTTCAAACTGTCCTGAAATCTTCTCTCGAATGTCTTCCGGGAGGAACTGATGCTTGGTCTCTCGGAGCGACCAGATGAACGGTTTATTCAGACTAATCAGGGCGTTGGCCAGCTGGGTGATTTGTTCCGGAACGGGAACGGCCATCGTTCCAAATGAGACGTATACAACCTCTCGAGGTTCCTGTTTCGCCAACCAGTTCTTCACTTTTTCGGATAAAGCGAGATCGGTATCCGAGACTTTTCCCGCAGACTCCGGCAGCAACGGCCCGACCAAAAAATGCGAAAGATGTTGCATATCCGGGTGTCTGCGAAGCAGCTCCAATTCGTCTTTATCAAAAGCTTCAAAGCTGTTATGGATCATTCCCTGCGCGTACGGCCAAATTTTTCGAACCGTCCCGAAGAATTTCAGGAACGGTGCGGCGAACGCCAGCGGTGGGTCGTTGGGCCCCGGGAGCGTATGGAACGGGTCCACTTCTTCCATTGCGATGATCGGCGCATCATCCTTCATTAGAGCGAAATACCGGGTCAACCACAGCGCTGCGGTGTTGAAGCAGTAGAACGGGATACCGCGTTCCCGGCACGTTTGCAACGGCCCCGCTAAGAAGTTGTCGGCAATAACAACGTCTACGGGTTGGCAGTCCCAAAGTTCACGGTCACCAGTTCCATCCGGACGCGGGATGGTTGCGAGAAGATGCTGAGCCGACGGCATGATGCTGGTAAAGACAATCTCGAAAGCGGCTTTGTGGTTATCAGGGTTGTCGAAGTCCCCGACGGCTTTGTCTTTAATGGGCAGAAGTTTGATGTTTTCCGTAGATTCATTGCTGAATATCTCTTTTTTCATCATTTCGGCAATTTTCGATTCCGAGAGAGCCAGGGTGACGGTGTGGTGCTTGGCGACCTTGCGGGCCAGTTCTAGGATGGGAATAATGTGCCCGAATGCCGGGAAGCTGAGGAGCAAAACGTGGCACTTTTTTCCAGGCATTCTTTAATTTTAAAATATGTGATTTTTTATAAAAATGATTATGTGGCCCACTGTGACCGGAAATAAAAATATTCGACTTCTTACACGGTAAATGCCTGGATACAATCGTACACAGTAAGTCTGGCTGAGCTAATGAGAAGTTGTGAAAGTTGTTTCACCGCCGTTTTGGTTTCGAGTGTTTCTTATCTGTTTCTTATCTTCCTCGGCACATGTCTGTTTGCCCCTGCTGTAGATTCGACAAAGATGCGCCGTTGGCGATTTTGATAAGAACTAATTAATTAATGCAACTCGTGTGCAAGTATCAAGTTACACAGCGTCTGTGGTAGTTTTGCAGCGAAACATAATTCTACTGATTATTTCAGCCGACAGCAACGGCAGTCAGACAGCTTATCAGTAATCAAAGGTAAACATGACTGTGTTATTGTAAAGATAAGAAAACTGTCGTTTCATGAATCATTATGCTAGACAGTAAATAAATTGCTAGTCGTAAATGGCCCGTAGACCGTAGTGTAAGTTGAAGTACTGTAACCATGTTCGTTGTTTGCTGACGTACGGAAAGCAGCCATGGAATTGTACAACGGAATCAACGAACAGCGAGGCTGGACATTGCAGTACGATTTAGAGATCTTGCTTCGCTACTATCGGTTGATTTCACTTCATCCCATGAGAGCAGGAGATAAGTCAGAAAAACGCCGACTCCCTATAAAATTTCTGATTACTATACACATTTAATATGCATACCGCCTCTGCCTTACTGCAACAATGAATTCCCTGTTGATTGGAACCAATCCGCCTATACTAAGGCCAACGTGCGAACGATCCATCAAACGAATCCGGACCGCTTCGATCTGCATCTCAGAGCGATCTTTTCGCCGCACTGCTCGATCGGCAAGGGCGTCTGTTACCGCTTTAACCTGATAAAAACCAAAGAATAAATTTCAAACTGCAAATTTGATCACGAAAGATCGTTTGAAGACCTAAAAAGCTACATAAAAATTGCTACTGTATGAGTATGATTTTTCTCCCAAAAATGTCAAAACAAGAAACTGCAAGTGGAAAATGAAGCATAACTGAGTTTAACAGACAAAGCATTATCTCATAGCTTTCACGTATTACTAGTGATTATAGTTAAGTATAAAAGGTGATAATCCTTTGCAGCATCAGAATCACCTTGTCAGCCATCCACACAAACACCAGGGTTCGAGCCACTGAATACGTCATAAGAACTAAAGCGAAATAAGCCACGCCTTCCCTGCTGCGGTCCGGCACATCATCTCTTAAATTGGCCACACTATACAGCGCCCACGCGAGATTATCGATGTACACCACCAGCCACAGAAGGCCGGTATCGGACCGCAGACACCCGACAACCTCCCGAAGATCCAAATAATCCGTGATGACCTTTTCACTTTGGCTTTCACTCGTCGCGTTCACGTAGGCCAAAGCCATTCGTCTGAATCCAAGCGCGAATAATAACGCGGCAAACATAATCAGACATTGTGTAAGGGCAGATTCCATGTCGAAAATACATGAAGTAATAAATAAAGAAACCATCAAACGATGACGCTGAACCGGTGAAATCGGCAACGCTTGTAACAGCGCGCTTTGCTCGTAGAAGATTGGGGTTTGCATTTCCCGGTAAACTGACGAGCTACCTTCGGCCAGGGAGCCAGCCAGAGGAATTAACAGTGCGAGAGCACCTAGTAGAATTTTCCGCTTATCTTCGGGACATAGGTAGCGCCAACAGATCGTCTGAAAACTGTGGACGACAGTGTGAATATTGCGTAACGCGACACTGATGGCCACCATTGTGAGGGGACTCCAGAAACCCGGCATAATTGTACAGGCTAGTTTCAGGAGTTCAGTTGGTGTCTGTGGCATACCTTTCACTCCAAATATGGTCATTTGGTTAATTCCGTACAGTAAATTACTGCTAAATAATACGACGGACCAAAGCGTTAATAAATGATCGAACAGTCGCAGCCACGCTGGACATTGTACAAGTGTTTTCCGACGAAAATTAAGAGGAATGTAGCCAAGCAGCCTTAGCGCAACACAACATATAGTAGTAAAATGGCTAATAAAACGTTCCATTATTAGGAATAAGCATGACTGACAAATGATACATCAAAATAGTGTGCAACTGGCGCATAAACGTCAAAAATGGTAATGTAGCCGTTACTGGCTCCGGTTATACCAGTGAAAGCTATCGCCTCAAGAATGAAGTATTCATTGTGCAAATTACTGTGATGAGAAAGCTCCACAGAGAACCGCGGATGTGTCCCACAGGAATACAGAGCAGTAATGTCAATGCACATTAACTGCTACTGGTGATACTTCTGCTGCGAATGAAGTAGTACATGATAGCGCTTAGAAATCAAACACGGTGCTTTATGGCACATGCATCGTTCCGTTCTTCAGTAATTCCGTTTCTCGTTGGGTTTCCGATGACTTTTCATCCCAGGAAATCAGTATATACGTCGTTATCACCCCAATAAACTATAAAAAGCGAAACATCACCAATGAATTCAGCGAAACTGCTCATGCCGAAAAACGTTCAGAAACCCACCCGGACAACGAATTCTCGGTTGATACGGATCAGTCCGCCAATGGTTAAAGCGCAGTCTTCTCTATCCATCAGATTGAGGCGCAGTACAGCCGCTTTCTTCTGCAGTCGGCTCTTCGTCGTTATGATTTGAGAAGCGAGTAAGCTACTTAAAGCTTTTGCCTAAATAAACAGTAAGTCTAAAGCGTTAACAACCCGATCCGTAAGATGTACACCAGATGCAGCTCGTAACGGCGAATTTGTAGAACGTTTACTTTAATTTCGGCCTTGACGAAGATCCCCGTGCGGATAGCAGCCAGCGCTAGAGTATGTCCAACGAAGAAAACATACCGGCTGGTCCTCGCGGTATCTCTGTTCCTCACCAACGTCACAACGAAGAGCACCCAGACAAAATCTTGGAAATACAAGAACAGCAACCATAGTTGAACTTTCTCACTTAAAACCCTTAGAACAACGCACAAACTGTGGTGTTCATTCAAAATGTCCTCAGAATGATCGGGATGGGATTGAATAAAGTTATTACACACTTCATCGAAGGAATAAGTAATACTGGCTACAGTAAAGATTAGCAGACACTGCGCTAAATGTGACAGTACTTCCTGCAGCAGCATCGTCGAATAGCTCATCCACGCGATAAGGTTCTTGGTGTTTTTATCCTTAAGAAGCAACAGCTGACTGTTGGACGCTTCATCCACGGGACCCGCTGCGTCCATCCGCGCAATTCCCCTAAAGGTCACGTAAAAGGAGTAGCCGCATAGCGCTAGGAGAACGCTGCTTAATCCGGCCAGTTTAATTTTGGCCGCTTTGTTGAGGAATCTGTCGCACGCCGTGGCGCACATTCGGATCCAGGGTCTGATACTCCAGAAACTGACGATCATACCGAAGGCCGACAAGGGCCCACAGATTTCGAACATCACTTTGACGAACACCATAATCAGTTCCATGGGGGTTCTTGGAAAAGGCAATATTAGTTCAGTGCCGGTTAGCCAAAAGACCGGATACAGGAATGTCCCCGCTGTCATTGCAGCCGACCAAGCCGTTAAAGTGTAGTCCAATACTCTGATGCACCATGGGCGGTTGGTTCCTAACCATCCAATCTGTACTAGGCCGAACAGCCGCATAGTCCACAACCACGGATAACAACATGCTTCAAGAAAGGTGCTTCGTCGCAGCTTTTGGTGGAATGTGTGCACGACACGAGTCATCACTCACCTGCTTAACCCGTGCGCAATTTCTCGATTAAATTTTCTTGTTAGAATTACGAAAAATGATTGTTTGGATGGAAATATTTTTCCACCTAGGTCTCCCGTAACGTATGCGTGATAACATAACAGCATTACACCGGTATAAACGGAGACTTGCAGTTCCATTTTTGTACAACGATACGGTGGGATTTATAATTCCCAAAAAGGATCAGATTGCATCGGAGTTCTGTTAGCGGTATAGACGATGTTAGAGCGTACTGCACTTTGGGAGCAGTGTCTCCTAATGGGGAAGTGTAATCTGACCACTGGGTAAACTACGGTAGTTAAGGCAGTTAATATAAAAGCATTCTATGTGCTTTGCCTCGATTGTGGTTTAACCGTCTTATGTAACCACTAACCAGTAACCGCCCTTTGTTGACAGCGGACTGACATGAACACCCATAACGTTTGTCTCACTAAAACGAACCCACAATAAAATTGTAAAATTCTAGCCAATTACACTTTAATTTGCAGTTACATGATTCTTACCAGGCTAAATGGAGTTCGGCTATTGACTAAACGGATTTCAGCTACTGGCTTCAATAATTTAATTAGACTATCAGAATTCAGAATAAATTATTGTTTTTGTTACTGTGACAATTCCACATGGTTAAATTCAAATGTAGGGCAACTTGCAACAATTTGTGTCTTTCCGCTTCGGAAATATCAGGGGCGTCCCAAACAATGAGAACATACGTGATAAATGTGGCAATGGCCTAAAATACAAAACAACATCAAATGTGGAACGCGAACTAGCTAGACACCATATTTTTTCTATATTTACGATAGCAACAAATTCCAGATTGATATTAACGATATTCCCCATCGTGAAGCCGATGTGGCGCCTGTCGATGGAGAGCACTTGCACGATACCGAAGCTATTTACTTCGTCATGCTCAGCTGCAGTGTGCGGGGTGGAGATTGCGTCGGCCATTGCGTGAGCCTGCTTTCAGAAATTATTTTCATAAAAGATGAAGACAATAAAAAGCCACGTTATACAAGAACCATCACTGTTAGGAATATTACCTTGCGGTTCAAATACACAAATCCAGCAGTACGGCCAATTAGGACGACCCATAAGCCGCTAAAATGGAGCCCTTGTCCAATAACTTGCACTATATTGCCGTTGCTGTGCAGTTCGGTTACCGTATACAAGGTCCACAGTAAATCCTGCATGTAAATCAGTAGCCAGTACAGAGCAGTGTTATTTTCTAAGCGACTCATAATCTTCTGTAAAGCAAAGTGATGTGCAATGATATTCCTTCGTTCTTCCTTGTTTCTGGCGGAACAGTAATCCTGACAGATTCCGTTAAAACTCATGCCGATAGAAAGCGCCAATAAAATCAGTAAACTCTGTGTTATGGCGGTTTCCACATTGCCCAGCACAACGCCAAGGAACATGACCAAGCAACATGTCCATCTGGCGGATCCAGAAAGCCGCAAGATCGAAAACACCGGGCTTCCCATCTCTTTTCGGTAGAAACCGTACACGTATCCTAGAATGCCCTCATACATAAAATACATAACGTATACCAGTACAATCATTCCACAGATGCGTAATCGTTTTTGATGGCTCGTAGTGAAAATGTACTTTCCGCAGATCGCCTCGCGTTCCAGCAAAATCCAACGTATATTTCTAAAGCATAACGAAATAGCCAAGTACTCCATGAGAACAGTCATGTCGGGACTAATATCGCTAGCCAGTCCGATTAGGTCACCAGGCCGCTGTGGCGTGCCCTTGTCACCCACCAGTGATACATTCAACGCGCAAAAACATACTGCCAGCAGAATTGTTGCTATTGCCCATAAATTAAGAAAAATGTCCACACATTTCCGGAGAATCGTAGTTTGTTTCAAGCGTGAGTTTCCTATTGGGATATAGCCGAACAGTCGCAGAAAGGTCAAGCAGCGAGGAAATATTCGTGAAAGAATATCGGTGTGTTTTGATGCTACGGTATTTTCCATTTTTACTGTTTGACTCTTGTCGAAATATGTATTGTAAAATGCCGTGCCATTTCCTAAAGTCCACAAGACATCTAAGCAAACATGCTAAAATTTTTGTGGAAAGTTGCGCTCAGAACTGATGATCTGCGTACCTCAGCAATTTTAAGTAATACAAACTTACAAAGTTGCAAGCACACCCCTGTTAAATAATCGTCATTTCCTTCTGACTATCGTGTTTCTAAAGGCGACAATCCCCATAATATGGCACTATTATTGTTGTTCTTCCAGTCATTTTCGATGTTTAATTATTATCACACTACTTGCGCACTTTGAACAATTTATTAAAAGTGTATTTAGAACTCTACAAAACATTACCAGTACGGCGATATCGCCGAACCGTAAAGTAAACGCCGGCACAGGAAAAGATGTCATCATAATTACAAACGAAAATTGATACTAAACACCTTAACTGGCGCACGTTCATTTTATTTAGGACTTTTATTATGATTTTTGTTCTATAACTTTGTACGTAATTATTTTTAGCAGTGTCAGATCGCACCCTAAAGTATCAGTACCACCATCAGCAGCCAGGACTCAGTTATTAGGTAACAGTACAGCGCTGTAGATATGTACTCTGTACAAGTACAATATGTGTGTATCCATTAGCAAGTAAGTGTATTATGGAACTGATGATCAGAATATTTTAGCAACTACAAGCCACAGAAAATATATTAATAAGAGGCCGAAATTTTGTAGTTATGCAACAGCTTAAATAATTTCTCTGCATTTGCTACGCTAAATGGACTATTTGATTAATGTCACAACTTTCAAAACAGTCATTATAACCAGTTGTTGCTTAAAAAAGACGGCAATAACATACTACGATGGAGTATTAATTTACTGCGGAAACAGAGACAACATTTTTGATGCAGTAAGGCTGCAAGTCAGTATTAATTTCCTCAAGGCACTGCGTTGAGGTCTTTTACGTAACTTCCTCGACCAAGCCTTTTACAGTAGCCCTTCTGACACTATAACAATGGCTGCCAGTTTCAAATGCTTTGCTCTTCTTTTGCTTTGCGTAACATCGTTCACTAACGGTGGCATCACCATAATCAAGAATGCCTTCAGTCTTCCTAATAAGGTAGACACTGGCGTGACACTATCAGGTCGTACCCTAAAATACCAATGCCGGCATCTACAGCCAGCGTTCGGTCCGCTTACTGCCGTTTGCCAGACCATCACCAAATGTCCGCCTGGTTCGGTCCAAGCGCGGGTAAAAAGCAGCGTGCCACAGCAGTTTACCGCCAAGACAGCTTTGTACCATGTTGACTGGCAATGCGAAGGAGAAAATCGGATTATGCTTGTCGATTACCAACCAGGTATTGTATGTGCTACCGGCTACAATGCCTTCTGCGTTGGTCGTTCACTCATTCCGCATTAATTTTCGTAGTGCCTTAAGACGCATCTACCATTCATAAAGTTGCTATACGAATTTTCATGAAACGCTTGTGAATAAGGCAGTTGGGAATTAAGTTAACTGTTTCAGAGAAGGGCACAGTCGGCCTGAAGGACGCAAATAATGGAAGTACGGTGATCCGCCAGGACACGCCTTACTTCGCCACTTGCGCTTTCTTTGAAGATAAAGCCAAGAAAAACATAGTGGAGTGCTACAATTACGAATACTGTTCATATCGACTTGGTAAATTGGTGTGCGCCGGCATACCAGCCTACGGCGGAACTTGGACTGGCGATATTAAAACTGGTAATAAAATGGTTTTTTGTAGCTTTAAATTATTACAGTATATCCTTGTCAATCTGTCGCATTTTTCAGGATTGAATGGGAAATTTGACGCCATAATGCGTACGTGGGAAGCGAAAACATAAAAGAGGGTGGCTGTTTAGTGTATGCTGTATTGATGTTGCAGAACCTAACCGGAACAAGACTTGTAATCAAGATCTGCCGGCAGTTCTTGGGAAAGAGCAAAAAGCAAACGAAAAGCTGAAGCGCAGCCGAAAAAGCCGAAATGTTCGTGCAAGCAAGCGCGTGATGAATTGTTCATACCTTTGGGTACGATGGAATGTTGCTTCAACTTGCTTCTACCGTATTTCGTAAATCTAATTTCTTTGCGGTTACATTTTTGTCATTGGAAAGGCAAATCTTTAGGTGTTCACCATTTAATTTCTAATCGCAAATTCTCTGAGTAAGCAAATCTGAATAACGGGTGTGTTGTTTTTAAGCTTTGGATAGTTTGGGGCCGAGCTGCACCAGCGACGGCAAATATGCCAAATTGCAACTTAGTCCTCGCGGGACAACGGTGGGGTGCGTCGATGAGAATAACAATCCAACAACTCCGGCTGTTAACGTGCCGGCGGAAGCTATTCCAGCTTGCAAGTGAATATAAATGCGCCCTAACATGCCTCTAAGTCTACTATTCCACAAGTTGAGGCGCAATAACAAACAGTTACCTTGTATGAATTCTGGTCCAGGAGTTCTGACAATCCTATAACGGCCATGCACAGTGAGCTTTGTATTGACCATATTGAAACGTTGTTAGCAGTGATACTGCCGCTGTAAGTGGAATTTGTGTTATCTCACCGGTCTTTAGAGGCGGAAGCCATGTTTACGCAACACAGCATGTGACCAATAAATATTCGATGGTGAATCATTCCGTTAACCTGTTATGTTCTTGCAAAAGTTATTTGTCTGTTTCTTTAAATCAACTGTTCTCCATTTTCTCTAAGCTGTTTCGATATTTTGGCTGATGCCGTTCCCGGAGTTTTTTAAATATATTTAAAATTAAACCACTTACCAAAACTTTTGGAATAGTAAAGAGCTGTACAGTGCAGCACTGCAGCGCTATGTTGGTACGAAAGCACGATGTTAAAGCGAGTGCGGAAGGTATTCAGGAAAATCCATCTGGTGACATTGTGTCGCGCTTGTTCCCTCCTAGCTTAACGCTTATGCGCCTTTTTGGGTATATTCCCCTTGGTCAGTCGTTGAATGCCAAGGAGACCACTGTCTTCTGGCGTTTCGTGGACAGGTTTCTTACGGTATGGTCCACTGCGGTAATCGTCGGCATCGTTGGCTACTGCATACTCAGTGTGTCCACTGTCGGTAAGGAATCCGTTCCGCAACGTCCTAGCGAGCTGATCAACATTGCCAGCAATATACTACCGGGATTCGCTAGCCCTATGGAGACCGCTAGCTTATGCCTTTGCTTCCGTAACATCCACGTGCTTCTGATACAGCGACACGCGGCATGCAGGCGTTATTTTTTGACTACGAAACATCAACAATATCTGCTGTGTTTAAGCGTTGTTTTGCTGTTGTACATCCTGTACACCGTGGTAGATAGCTGTCTAGGATTTACCGAAGTTTACGATGGTTATCGATATTTATATAAAAGCCCGATCTTCGATTACAAAATGTTGTCCCCTTTTGTTAAACGCGCTATTTGTTTGATTGTCACTACGTCAATCACTCTCGGTAATCTTGGAACGGCGGTAGCGCATAGTCTCTTGATTCTCTTAGCCTTTTCCGCAGCACTGTGTTTCGGCGAAATGTGCACTGATTATGAAAATGCATGCAGCTCGACGATAAGTAGAGAAATAATCGCCAATCACTTTCGCCTTCAACGCATAATCCGCCGTTTGGAAGAAAATACATCTTTTTACTGGCTGGTGACCTATATGCAGGACTTTCTCTGGGCTTTGTTTACTGTGGCGGCTGTCCGTGGCAGTGTAACTGCGGTGGATCGTGTAAACGGAGTACTGCATTTGGGAAATTTGTGGCTGGTGCTGATTGTGCGGACCGGTGTATTTTTGTTCCTGAATGTGAAGGTACAATTCCGTTTATTATACTGTTTCCTTTTTTATTACACTATCATTAATTTTACTTACTGTACTGGTTAACAGGCAACCGCGTTGGCTGACGCAATCGCTGACCGCAATTCCATGCAGGATGAAATTGGTACCGAATTCAAACAGATGCTTCTCATAGATCGGCGCCATGTGGGATTCAGCGTCGGTGATCTTGTCAACATCAATCGCGAATTTATTATCGGAGTACGTACGATGAAGATTACTTCTTTTGTTTTATTGCGGTTTTATTGTACCAGTGTAATGCACTACAAGCGGAAAAGCTTTGTCGGTGCCACCGGTTTTCTTAGATTTCAATTTTGGCTATAACAGTAGTACCGTCTGTACCCGCATATTAATAGCTTTTCCACAGCATAAGCTTGAAAGATACTTACCAACCACGAATAGGCTGTCGGCGAAGGTTTTTAGTCCGAAAAGTGTGTAGGTTGCCAATGTTTACAAAAATTCTTTAGAATTACAGTTGCTGTCAACCAATCGTCCAATTACGATTATTTCTGTTAATTTACAAGAAACGCAGTTTTTGAAATCTTCAGTGAGCATCTCCACACAACCACACAGTATGCTGTTGTGAGTGAACGATATCTTTGGTTTGTAGGGCATTGGGGCATTTTTGACGTACCTACTGCTCGTGTGGGATGAGCCTAAGTCAACCGATCTGGATTACTCCAAGCTGCTAACGCTTCTGACAAATCTGAATAATGGAAGGCTTGATGCCGTGAAAAATTCGACGGCTTCGGTTTAGGAAATTGCACGACATTTAACGCCTCCAGATGGATGTAAATCAGTCCAAGAAAATTAATTTCTTGAATAATCTCACCGCACTCCGTAAAACTGATATTAATAACTGCATTACCACTAAAGACACTACTTTGCGCAATACCATACAACTTCTGTAACTTATAAGAACACCGTTTTAATTTTTAGTTACGGAAACACGTGGTCTTGTTGTATTGGTTGATTACCGGATAATATGATACTACTGGGTAGTGTCTACAATATACTTCATACATCGATTTTGCATGAGTTCCACAGCGGCATTGTGCCAATATCCTTCTGCTGCATCGGCTTAAAGTTTTTCCGCGTTAACTGGTAAGGGGATCATAATAAAATAACTGCACAACGGATCGCTATCCAGATGGTACGAAAACTCTGCCTAGAAGTATGGTATATGTGCATAGTTTAAAATGCTTAAACTACATTTATTTTGTAAACACCGTCGCGTTATCGTCCATCCTCAACACATCATCCTCAGTTCCTCACTCTTACGGAGAATTTCCAAAAGGTTCAAAAATTGTTCCAGGACGAAAACGATGCACTTAAACTACTGCAGAAAAAATTTGGTATACACACCCAGACAAAGAGATTTGTTATTTCGCTGAATATGTGAAATGGGCGAAACTGGCAGCATCGTGGCACGATTGGTTCGGCGCGAGTAAAGTATGTGCTGCTAACCTCCTACGTTCAGTCGCCATCTGCAGTCAAAATGCACTTATTACTATGCAGGCACCCGTACATACATATAGTAAGTGCTCTGCGTCCGTTATTCACACGGTACAGTTATCCAGCGCCTTCTTTAAACCATGTACAGTGCCTTCGCGTTCAGGTTCGTCCCAGGATAATAACAGATAGGTAAGGAGCACTCCCACACTCTGCAAAAGCCAGATGACAACGAAGGGAATGTTTACTTAGCGGCATAACGTCTAGAGGATCCCTGGACCCTTACACAAATAATGAATTGCCGATTAATGTTGATCAATCCTCCAACCGTAAAACCAGCATGTTGTCGATCCATTAAGAACACTCGCAGAGTGTCTTTCCTCATTTGATCTGAATTTTTCTGCAGCTCTAGGGCTCCATTAGCCATTTCCGTAACTAATGAACTGGCCTAAAAAAGGAACATCTGCAGTTTCATTGGACAAGCACGAAAAATTGCATTTTCCGAAACTAACCATGTCATTCATAAACACGAATACCAATGTTCGGATAATGCATAACATCAGCAGACCGGTCACGAACAACATCGTTTCATTTCGATCGCGCAGTGGGTCAGGGTTACGCATCTGGACTGCACCGAACAACGCAAATATCAGGTCTTTAAAATACGCCACCAACCAGAACAGTGCTGTGTCTTCATCCAATCGCTTAAGCAATATCCGCAACGATGTATGATGACTAAAAATCATTTCTTTCAGCTCGTAATCTGAACTACTACGATACTGATGAGTTACACTTCGAAACACCATGGCTAAAGCGAAAGCAAATGTCATCAGTATAACTTGCGCTAGCGCCAGCTGCAAGTCGGAGATGCATACACAAGCGTATAAGATACAGCTGATTGTATGACGAGTTAAAGGATAGAGATTCAGCATCCGGAACAAAATACTTTCCTCGAGATACACCGTCTGAGGTATTTGTATTATCAATGCAAAAGCACTTTCAACCACAGAATAGGCCAGGCAAAGCGATAAAATACACTGGACAACTGCAATCCAAACGCGGTGGGTTTTATGGAGATACAGGCAACAGTATATATGAAATTCGGCAAGAAGTGCGCGGATCTGGTGGAAACTTATGCAAACGCCTACGAGTTCCAGCGGTCTACAAATCGCCGGGAGGATGCTGCACATGGCCGCTAACAGATCGCTGGGACGCTGTGCAACGCTTAATGTGGCTGCCATCGACGCTTGAAAGCAGCAGTAGCACACGATTCCCATCGATAAAATGATTGACCACATTAATAAGCAGCGGTTGAAAATTCTGCTGTATAGTGATTTTGAATGGAAGCGGAAGCTTTCCACGGAGACATGCCCAAGAAACCGCAGCACCAGGAAACCCGGCGACAATACTTCCATGAGAAAATTATCGGAGTACAACATGTTCTGCTTAACGAGGAGACGCTAAGGAAAAGCTGATACCCTGATGAGAAAGAAGTCGACGACTAGAGCGGGCAGAAGTGGGAATCGCGTACCGATTGTAAGAATATGAATATAAGACCCATCAGTGCTTTCTAGTTCTCATCAACGAAAGCTTATTTGAACGTGAGAACCTGTATAGCCAAGCATGCAGCTTTTCTTTAAACATCCCTAACGCGGGATGGGTGTATCCTTAGGGACATGCACAATGTAGTGCACTTACCTTCATGGCAGTTAATAATCTGTGTTTGATTTGAAGGTTAGTTAATTTTAGTTTAATAAATATTGTTTCTGCTTTAGCTAGGCATCCATGAAGTGCTATTCCTACCATTTCCCGTAGATGCGTCTACGTTTCATTTAGCTAATGTGTTTGCGATACAAAAATTCAGTGGTTGTTTTGGTAGCAGCGCACTTGAGGTGCAAGTTGTCGGTATTGTGCAGTTCTGGACGTGGCGCGCGGTGTGGTTTAGCCATACAACAATGAACTTTAACCAGTATCTTTGGCACCGTTGAGCGCAGTCGTAATCTCGATGAAGAGGTTTTGATTTTCTATTTATTTAGTTTGGAATTTGCACATTTTTTTCTTACGCTGAAGAGTGATGTACGTATTCAGTTTACCCAGTTCCCATGCGACATAGAAAACCATGTGTTGTTTAGGTGTTTGTTTGTGGGGCTCCATATACGTATGTAGAGTGGACAAATGACGCTAGACACTCGAGAAATATTTTGTCAGAATGGAGAAGTGTAGTGGAATGGCACGATAACAATGATAATGAATAAAACGTGTCTCGTGTGGAGCATACTATTCCGAGTTTGTGGATACGCA